AAATAAATAAATAAATAAAAATTGAATGAATTGGCAGTTGAACCTTAAAGTGGGGAATGAATTATCAATTGGATAAAGTGAAGAGAAAGCCATGAGGGTTGCCTCAATTTCTCAAGACAAAAAACAAACTAAAGCCATCTATCTTATCTTAATCAACCTAATTGCCAATACTATGTTCCAAGAAAAAATTCCATCCCCAATTGTTTAATTAACATATATAATTGGCACATGACATTCACCCCCACCAAATCAACCACGAGCATGCATGCCTCATAATCCCTTTGTTTTTTTGTTTTTTTTTTTTTTTGGGTACACAAACTGAGATCATGTTTTAATGATGTAATCAAATAGGACCTACACCTTGTGATTCTTTTTTGCTAATTGCATTATGAAAATGCTAGTTTTTAAATTGGATGTTTAGTGACTATCGATTTTATAGATTATTAATGTGATTTGTGAATTAATACATTGTATCAAATGGTATGTCAAACTTTTCATTGATACTTATTGAAAAAAAAAAAAAAAAAGAGAAATATAATCCAAACTGTTCGATAAGGGTTCATTAATCGATTCTACTGATAATTGTAGGGGTCTTGCCGTTGGATCAACACATTTGTATCCATTTGGATTTGTATTGATCCAAGTCAGCTTTTTTTTTTTCTTTTTTTAGTACAAAGAAAGAGGCTCAGACCTATAAGTTTAAGTCACAAACGTTTCGCGAATAAGACACGTCAATAACATCATGATGAAGTCAATGTCATACCCCATCGGGTGGATTGTGAAAGAAATAGTATCCCACCAAACCTCCGCAGCGAAGGAAGCCATATGATCGGCCGTAAAATTCGCTTCACGAAAGACATGTTTTACCTTTACTGTCCAAGAACGAACAAGTTTAAATACACTCTTGACAAGTAGGAATTTGTTAGGAGAATATGGAGTGAGTTTGGAGAAAGTCAATTAATAACCATTCACAAAATCAAGTTATCAAGTCACTAGTAATATATCATAAAATCAAAACTGATCTGTATATATTATATGCACATGCAAATCTGGTTAAACCACTCCCCGCATCATACTCTTCTGCAAATGTCATCTATTGGGATCTTGGAATCAGTCAATTTAATGAAATAATCAGATAGGTAAAAGAAAAAAATAATAATAATAAATAATATTCAATGACACAACTTATTAATCATAGAGAAATTTATATATTAAAAAAAAAAAAAAAAAAAAAAAAAAAAATATAAAAAAAAAAAAAAAAAAAAAAAAAAAAACATGTGGATAAAAAATAAAGAAAAAAAAGGAAGTGGATAACTATAAAAAGCACGTATTTAACGAATACGTTTTCTATACAATTTATATAGAAAATTTATTCATTAAATACGTTTTTTCAGATTTTTTTACAAAAGAAATCGTATTCAGTGAATACGTTTTACAATTAAAAAAATGGTAAAACGTATTCATTGAATACGACCTTGTTGGGAGTATGATCTTCTTAGTGTGTTTTCTTCCTTTTGTTATGATCTGTAATAGTCGCCTTTCACTTATTAAGGCGTACTTTTGTTTTCTGTTCTGTTTAGCAGCTTTAGGGTTTATTTTACTTAGATGACGTGGCGTCATTGTATTGGTCATTATGGGACCTTAAGCTCGACTATATAATCGAGCTTCTGTTCACTTTTCTGTAATTTTTGGTTATGAGAAAATAGAAAGAAAAATTTCCCAAATTATCAGAGCTTTCGCTTTACATTTTATCAGAGCTTTTAGCTTCACATGGTATCCAGAGCAGGTCATTAATGGCGCGAGAAAGAAGAGAGACGACAGTCAACAGATACACACGAGACTCAGATCCACTTCTACTTCACGGTTCCGATCACCCTGGCATGGTTCTGGTAAGCAATCCTCTCACCGGATCCAATTATCTTCACTGGAGTCGTGCAATGCGTATGCCACTAGGAGCAAAATCAAAATTAGGTTTCGTAAATGGCACAATCACAGTTCCAGATCAGGAATCAGAAGATTATGAACAATATCAAAAGGTGGAATTCATGGTGATGTCGTGGATATTAAACTCAATCTCGAAGGACATTGTCGAGGCCTTCATGTGTGTCAAGAGCTTGAAGCAGTTATGGAACGAGCTTGCTGAGAGGTACGGAGAAAGTAATGGACCTCTCAAATATCAACTGAAAAGGGAGATCTCAAACTTCGTGCAAGGTAACCTCACTGTTACTACCTACTACACGAAGTTAAAATGTCTTTGGGACGAGTACGCTTGCCTAGTAGCTTTACCAGAATGTAACTGTGGTGCTGAGAAAGCTTTTAATGATAATGATTCAGAAAGTAAACTCATGAAATTTTTGATGGGGCTGAATGATGTTTTTGAGCCGGTTAAGAACCAAATCCTATTGATGGAACCCTTGCCTACTATCAACAAGGCCTATTCCATGATATTGAAGGTCGAAAAACAGAAATCAGTACATAACACAAATCTAGAAGGAATGGACAGTACAGTCATGTTTGTAAAGGGAGGATTTGGGAGAGGAGCAAACAACATTGGAAGTTTTGGAAGAGGTGCAGGTGGAATGGGAAACTTTGGGAGAAATGTTGGGGCTAGAGGAATATTTGGACAGAATAACAATCCAGGTAGAGGGAGAGGTCAGCCTAGACTTTCCACGAAAGAAAGAGCTAAACTATTCTGTGAACATTGGGTTATAATGGACATGAAATCCAAGGTTGCTTTAAACTTAATGGATATCCAGAATGGTATAAGGAATTGAAAAACCAGAGATCTGGTCAACATGCTAATATGGTGGATGATCAGACCATAAGCAACAAGTCAAGTGAAACAGATGGAGAAAAACAACAAACTCTTGGTCCACTTGGAGACATCAGCTCTCTTTTACAAAAGGAGATTGCAAAGTATATGGCAGGACAACAAGGAGGGGATATGTTCTCTTATGCACACCACAGTGACTTCTCAGGCACTATCAATCATTTTGGATTTTCTCTACTGGAAAATGTTGATGAGTCTAGCTGGATAGTTGATAGTGGAGCTAGCAGGCACATTTGCTGTAACTTGGACTTGGTGGACAGCTACACCAGTGTAAATATGCCTATCACAGTTAATCTGCCTAATGGAGCTAAGATCAGGGTTGACAAAGTTGGAAATGTTAAACTCAATGAAGAAGTTGCCTTGAAAAATGCTTTGATAGTACCTGAATTCAGGTACAATTTGCTTTCAATTGGTCAACTCACTGAAGAGAAGGGGTTAGCATGCACTTTTGATGAATATGGATGCTGCTTACATGACTCTAACAGTAAAAGGCCATTAGCAAAAGGGATTGCTCATGGAGGATTGTACATCATTAAAGGAGAGAATTGTGCAGCTAATCAAGTGGGGGAAGGCAACTCTGGGGCTCATGAGTTTGAACTTTGGCATAGGAGACTGGGA